ACAGAATATTTCTGTATTTAACTTGTAAGTCAGCTAGTCCTACACTAACAGAATATTTCTGTATTTAACTTGTAAGTCAGCTAGTCCTACACTAACAGAATATTTCTGTATTTAACTTGTAAGTCAGCTAGTCCTATACTAACAGAATATTTCTGTATTTAACTTGTAAGTCAGCTAGTCCTACACTAGTATAATATTTCTGTACTGAACTTAAACAGTGATCTAATTTCTTCAAACGTTAATCTTCCTAACAGGAAATAATTAATGCTGTACATTATATATTAACTCGACGTCAGAAAATATCAACCTTTCATAAAATTTGATATATTTAGGGTGACCAGAATGCCTGAACTTCAATCGATAAACAAAGCTATACCAAATATTATGGTAAGGGCTGGTTCGCAGTGAAAGATTAATCGATAATCCTCAAGAAAGGAAAATCCAAGAGCACTGCTGCTGTTGAGAAGGATTTATATACAACATATATCGGTCATTCACAGTAATAGAAACTCGGTATCCCTACCAGCTGAACGGTCGTTCCCTTCCAACACTTGGTACTGGTCCTGCTATAACTGTCTTCCTCTCAGGAGTGGCCCAAACCTAGCCAACTAACGCGTTTTGTACTACGGATGACGTCACAATCTCGTGTCATCTACTGACAAAGGCGAGAGTGTACCAGCGCCCCAGAATATCTGCCATATACGGACAGGGGGCTCTGTAGGTAACGCCAGCAGGCGAGAAGAAAATCTGGCTATTTCTGTCGTTTCGTCCCACAACCAAATATGTGAGAATGGCTAGGTGTAGCGTTACTGAGTCTGACTAGAGAGCTGAACCTATATTTAGTCTTTATCCAGTCTCTGTCTATGTCCCACTTTGGTTGCCTCGAGACTTGTTCTGAATCAAAAACCTTGCAACGTACAAAAGTAGACGTGACTTCTCTTAGCCTGGGCGAAATGGGTCGGAAAGAATTTGGATTTTTATTTAGAAGGAATACCCAATCATTATTATAAAACATCGTCGTCGTAAAAGGGTGGTCAAAAGTGTGGGTGGAGAAAGGTTTGAATAGGGGAAGCAAATACTGCGGAAACAATTTTGTTTTTCTGTGAAATTAACAAAAACACATATATATATACAAGTATTTATATTTTATTACACTTTATCTAACAAATTAAATTACGATATTTCTATACAATGTAGCGCACTTTACAAAGAGTACTGTGACTTAACAAGGCTGAAATATGTTGAAGGAGAACTTGACTTAATAAGGCTGATAGATGTTGCAAGAGAACTGTGACTTAACACTTTTAATGAGAGCTATGCGCTTGTTTATAGTTCTGTTTCCACATCTTTCTCTTGCTTACACTTCCGTTACACTAGTAAAACTGTGACTTAACACTACCGAAAGATGTTGACTCTTTCAACATCTTTCGGTAGTGTTAAGTCACAGTTCTCCATCAACATCTTTCAACAGTGTTAAGTCACAGTACTCTTTCAACATCTTTCGGTAGTGTTAAGTCACAGTACTCTTTCAACATCTTTCGGTAGTGTTAAGTCACAGTACTCTTTCAACATCTTTCGGTAGTGTTAAGTCACAGTTCTCCATCAACATCTTTCGGTAGTGTTAAGTCACAGTACTCTTTCAACAGTGTTAAGTCACAGTTCTCCATCAACATCTTTCAACAGTGTTAAGTCACAGTTCTCCGTCAACATCTTTCAACAGTGTTAAGTCACAGTTCTCCATCAACATCTTTCGACAGTGTTAAGTCACAGTTCTCCATCAACCTCTTCCAACAGTGTTAAGTCACAGTGTTTTATGTACGATCGGGTAGGGTCATGTGAAGAAATCGGTGAGAAACAAATTCATAAAAGTAATATTATTTGGTAATATCGCAGAACTCATAAACAAGTACTATATTATATATGAGTCGTTAGAATGTGTGTGTAATATAACGAGGTTGCTCCACACCTTAACAATCTTATTAAATATTCAATACTTAATAAACACGTAGACTTAAATATATGATCCAAGTTATTCCAATACAAAATTAACAACTTGAAGCACAGTATCTTTAACTACCAATTCAACTATAGTTGGTTCTCTGTCTGCATTATTGACTGCAATAGTTACGAATCTGTATGTATCAATGTCCCTCTTTAACTACTCACCTATAGTTGGTTCTCATTCTGTATCAGTGTCCCTCTATAACCATTCACCTATAATTGTTTCTCATTCTGTATCATTGTCCCTCTAACAAGACTTCACCCAAGTAGATATCTGTCTGCATTATTCACCCTCTAACGAACCATTCATCCATAGTTACTTCTCTATTATTTGCCGTCTAACTACCAATTCATCTATAGTTGGTTATCTGTCTACATCATTGTCCCTCTAGCCAACCATTCATCTGTAGTTGATTATCAGTCTGCATCATTGTCCCTCTAACCAACCATTCATCTGTAGTTGATTATCAGTCTGCATCATTGTCCCTCTAACTATTCACTGATCTATAGTTGATTAACTGTTTGTATAATTGTCCCTCTAACTAACCATTCACATATAGTTATTTATCTGTCTTTATCATTGTCCCCCTAACTGACCATTCATTTATAGTTACTTATCTGTCTTTATCATTGTCCCTCTAACTAACCATTCATTTATAGTTACTTATCTGTCTGAATTATTGTCCCTCTAACTAACCATTCATCTATAGTTACTTATTTGTCTCCATCATTATTCCTCTAACTAACCATTAATAAACATTTATTTATTTATTTGACTGCATCATTGTCCCTCTAACTAAACATTCATCTATGGTTACTTATTTGTCTCTATCGTTGTCCCTGTAATTAGTTTCTAGAGTTTCTTTGTCTAGCATTATCCCTCTAACTAACCATTCATCAATAGTTGATGATTTGTCTGTATCATTGTCCCTCCATCGTATATTTAATATTGTCATTATAACTGACCAGTCATCTATAGTGGGTATATGTCTCATCATCTTTTCGTCTGTGTTGCTATCTGTACAGTGGACATTTTTCTACATATACATTTATCGAGACATGTTTAACTGCATCTTTAGCCATCACAACGCCAAGCTACATAATATTAAAGTCTCTCTCTCTCTATCTCTTGTTTTTTTTTTGTGATAAAATGCTTTTATATTTTTAAGGGAGGTGAATAAAGAAACTAGCTTTCTCGATTTGCTGCTTAACAAAGCTTTTTTTATTATTCTAAGTATGTTCTCTTATCCTCTGGCACTCGCTGTTGATTACACCTTTGTTTGGCAATACTCCATGTGGAACTTAGGTCGTGAAAACTCTTGTACCCAGGTTGAATCTGTAAAAATATGTTAAATATATATAACTTAATACAGGCCTAAAATGTGCGATAAATACCGTGTTATACGGATATATGCTTTCCCACATAATCATATGTGCTTAAAATAACATTTGAGATCAATAAATAAAATACCATAAACTTACCAAAATATCTATAACCTACATATTTTTATAACCTACATATTTATACAACCCACTTATTTATACAACCTACATATCTATAACCTACATACTTATACAACCTACATATTTTATAACCCACATATTTATAACCTACATATTTATATAACCTAGATATCTATAACCTACATACTCATATAATGTACAAATTTATAAAACCTACATATCTATAACGTATATATTTATATAATCTACATATTTATGTAATGTACATATTTTTATAACCTATATATTTTTCCTTCATACAGACTAGCTTAATGAGGTTAATCATGTGAAATACTACTCACCTTTAGGGTTTGAGTCATTTTTACTTCACCATATGGTAACCTAGATTATGTAAATAATGTCATGACATTTCGTCGAATTCATCTATAATAATAAATGGGCGTGTATCTGTGTGTGTGTGACCGCAATAACTCCAAGAGGAAAGAACCTAAAAGCCTGAAATTTTGCACCCATATTAAGTGGACTCTGAGAGTGTGCACCTGGGTATTAGTACTTATTTTATTCACGTGCGTGCGCGCATGCGCATCCCATAGTATACCCTGTAGTATATCAGTTACATTAACAACGTCTAATACATAGAAAAGCCAGTGTGTTTTGATAACAATGCGTTCCAACAGTAGCTTTTATATCATGTTGCTTAGCATCAAAAGTATCTATATAAATACAATGGTACTGTCTGTTGTCCATCCATGTAATTCCGCAGGGTGTGGACGGATCTGCACCAAAATTGGTATGTAGGCTCAATCGGTCTTTGCGGGGTACATACAAATTTTCAGTTTTGCGTCTTGCGTTTTTTTACCAATACTTCGCCCCCTGTAGATGGATCATCATCAAATTTAGCATGAAGGTTTGTTGGGTCCATGCGGAGATACATGCGAATTTGCAGTTTCACATTTTGTGTTTTGCATTTTTATCGAAGTTTTTGCATTTTTTTATAATTACATATAAAGAAAGCAACTTTTGATGTCCTAAGATAACCTTTTATTAATCCTGAATTTACATAACTTCCGTTTAGGGGACGAGTACTTCAGCTGGTAACCTAATATTGTTATTAGTTTATGTACTGAAAGTATAAACTGAAATGTATAGACAACAAAACTGGAAAAATATCTGTTGATTTCTAT